TTTTTTTTTTTTTTTTTGGTACCAGGGATCAAACTCAGGACCTTGCACTTGCAAGGCAGGTGGTGGCACCATTGAGCCAAACCTCTGCCCCGCCTTTTTTCAATTCTGAGACTCACTAAGTTGCTAAATTGCCCAAGATGGACTTGAACTTGCAATCCTCCAGCTCAGCCTCCTGGAGTGCTGGGACTGCAAGTGTGTGCTATCACAGCCACATTAAAGAAAAAATATTTTATTTTTATTTATTTATTTATTTATTTCGTGGTACCAGGGATCGAACTCAGGTCTTTGCGCTTGCGAGGCAGGCCACCAAACTGCTGAGCTAAATCCCCGGCTCTAGAAATAATATTTTAATTGAATATTTTAAAAAATCAAATCAGAAGGCTGGGCGTGGTGGCTCAGACCTGTAATCCTAACACTCAGGAGGCTGAGGCAGCAGGATCACTGTGAGTTCGAGGCCATCCTGGGCTGCATAGTGAGTTCAAGACCAGCCCTGCAGTACACAGCTAGACCCTCTCTCAAAAAGAAAGTCAAACCAGCAATGTGGTCTCCCAGGAACTAGCTGTCTATATATGTAAAAGAGTTTGATTGGTGCCAACCAGGGCCAGGATGAGGACGAGGAGAACAAGGCAGGGTCACACAGGTGCAGAACTAGATCCTGGCTTTACCTAAAACCCTGACATTTTGTTTGTCTTATGTTTTTTGTTTTGATTTATTAAAATATTGCATATGCCAATTGTGGTGGCTCACACCTATAATCCCATCACTCAGGAGGCCGAGGCAGGAGGATTGCCATGATTTGAGGCCACCCTGAGCTACATAGTGAAACCCTGTCTCAAAAGAACCATAAAGAAAAAGCATTCAAATGTTATTTAATCTTGGTTACTGGATATTTTGTTTTTGTTTTCGTGTTTCTGTGATAGGATCTTAGTGTGTTGTCCAGGCTGGTCTTGAACTCCTGGGTTCAAGCAGTCCTTCTGCCTCAGCCTCCCAAGTAATGGAACCACAGGGTTACTGGGTTTTTGGTATTTGTCACCCTTAAATTTTCTACCCAGAGTGAGTGTCTCCCTAATTACTCCTTACTCAGAAACTTCATCCAAATTCCATCTGTGCAGTGAGCTCCTCGAAGGTTCAGTCTCTACATCTCTAAAATGGAGCTGACCATACTACTTCTCTGATTGGTTTATCAGGTGACTTCCTGAGACACATAGCAGGTTCCCCCCATACAGGGGATAGAATCTAGGCCCTTCACACTGAGCTCCATCTCCAGCCCGTTTTTCTTTTTTACTTTGAGACAGAATCTTGCTCAGTTGCTAAGTTGCCCAGGCTAAGCTCATACTTAGAATCCTCCTGCATCAGCCTCTGGAGTTCTGGGACGACAGGCGTGCACCACGACAGCCAGCCCACCATAGGCCCTGGTTACATGGGAGACATGAACTCTCTTGCCTTCCCCCCAGGGTCCGGGGCCCTGTGTGCAAGTGAGCTACCAAGTGCGGTTCTGGGCTGGAGAGAAGATGCAGATGCAGGAAGGGGTGCCCTGCTGTTCGTGGCCCGTCCCTGCCTGGGCACAGTGGGTCAGGGTGTCTGCCGAGGATGGTGTCCCCTGGGTGCCCTCCACCAACCTCTCCCTGGTCTGCTTGGGTAAGAGGCAGGAACCCTCTCTGCTAGGGATGGGAGTGGGCAGGGCCTCCTGAATGGGCAGCCAGGACTCCCCTAGCTGCAGACTCTGCACCCCAGGACGTGGTGGTCAGCAGCATCGCTGGGACCCTCGGGCTGCTGGTGAGCTGGCAACGGGGGACCCAGGAGCCATGGGAGTACGTGGTGGCCTGGGTCCCAGACGGAAAAGCCCTGGAGGATGTCAGCTGGACCCGGCTTCCTCCGAGGAACCTCAGTGCTGAGCTGCTAGGTGAGGCCAAAACACAGGGTTCCCACATCTGAGTCCGTCTTCTGTTGCTGTGACAAAGTCCCCAAGGTTGGCACTTGTGAAGAAGGGAGGTTGACTTGGCTCAAAATCTGTATGCTCAAGAGTGACGCGTGGCACCTGCGGGCTCTGGGAGGGCCAGCGGCCACCGCTAGGGGTGGCTGTGCAACAAGCAGGCTGAGCTGGAAGAATATTCCCGGTGCCACAGAGGATTCTGGGTGCCTCTCTGCTGCCCCTGGTGGGCTCCAGCGATACTGAGCCTCAGCGGTCCACCGTGAGAACCAGCTCCCTCCCTCCCTCCCTTCCTTCTCATTTCCCTCCCTCTGTCTTCTCCCTTCCCTCCCCACCTTTTCTTTTTCTTTTCGTGGTAACCCAGGGCCTTTGCTCTGAGCTACATCCCCAGCCCCGTTTTAAAAATTTGAGACGAGGTATCACTAAGTCTCTAAAATACTAAGGCTGGGCTGGAACTTGGGCTCCTCCTGCCTCAGCCTCCCAGGGTGCTAGAGTTAGAGGTGTGCCCAGGCTGGTTTTGAAATCATGGGCTCAAGCAATCCTCTACCACAAGCTTGGCTGGGCACTTGTTCTTAACAACACTTCCTGGCGTCATGCATTTCTTTCTCTCTCTCTCTCTCTCTCTCTGGGTGTTTTTGAGACAGGGACTCAATATGTGGTTCAGGCTGGCCTTGAACTCACTATGGAGCTCAGGTAGCCTTGAACTCTAAGCAGTCCTCCTGCCTCAGCCTCCTAAGTGCTGGGTTTACAGGCGTGTGCCACCACGCCCAGCCTGGCTGCCTGTCTTATACCATCTCACTTCTGCCCTGCTGATGCCTCTTGGGGTCACTTCCCAGATCAATCCCTGGTATCTAATCCTTATCCCAAGGTGTCTGGGGGACCCTGGGGAAGATGGCGCCCATTGGAAAATGAGTAGGGGCGGGAGAGGCAAACCTAAACGGCCTTCTGTCTCCACCACCCAGGCAATTTCACAAGAGGGGTCCCCTACCGCATCACAGTGACAGCAGTCTTTCCTGAGGGCCTGGCCCCTGCTCCTTCAGTCTGGGGGTTTGGAGAGGAGCTAGGTAAGAACGGGGCTGGAGGGTGTGGATGATTCCTGGAACCCAGCAGATCATGACCTGGGAGTTTTCCCACAGCACCTGTAGCAGGTCCAGCAGTTTGGCGGCTCCCAGATGACCCCTTGGGGACCCCTGCAGTGGCCTGGGGAGAGGTCTCAAGGCAGCAGCTCCGGGGCCACCTCTCCTACTACACCTGGTGTGCGCGGAGTGGCTCCAGACCCTCAGTCTGTGTGAACGGTGAGCCTCCTGCCTCCTGCCCCTCCATCAGCCCCCAAGGCCAGGCCGACCCCACCCCTGGCCCGGGGGCCCTCTGGCTGTCTCTGTGCCCTGGCTGTCCTCCACCCATAGAGCACAGTGACTCTCTGGCTATTGATGTAATGGTCTCACCGGGACATTAAAACTGAAGGTTCCGATCTATGTGTATTGATGTTGAAAGACACCTGTCATATTTCATTACATTAACAAGATGGAAAGTGTTCCAAAACTCTGGAGATGGCTGCCTTTTTGGTTTAAAATAAGTTCAAGATTGGCAATGCCAAGCCACAGATATGGAAATAAATCCCTTCAATGCCAATATGGATTGTAGGATTGCAGTGTGATTTTCACTTTTTTTGTTTTGTTTTGTTTTTTGAGACAGGGTCTCACTATGTGGTTGAGACTGACCTGGAACTCACTAAGTAGCCCAGGCTGGTCTCAAACTCACAGAGATCCTCCTGCCTCAGCCTCCCAAATGCAGAGAAAATAGCCACCACATCCGGCTATTTTCACTTTCTTGTTCTTGCATGTGTGTGTTTTGGAAGTGATTTGTGAGAATTCCTTTATATGTGAAGGACATTAATGCACTAATATACATTTTTCAGTTTGTGATTTCTCTCTTAACTTTCTTAGTGATCTTTGGCGGTTTGTAGATAATATTAATTTTCAGAACAATTCATCAAATCTTGCTCTTATGGTTCCTAAAGCAGTAGAATGTTTAATATCCAGGTTTTAGGAGATGGAAAGAATTGGCTCTGTGATCCCACTGCAAAGAGCTTTGAGAAAATGATTTGACTTTTCAGACATTTCTCTAAAGTGGACATAATTATACTTCCTTCAAAAGACTGTTATGCAAATGATATGCAAATACTGTATATAAAGTTTAGTTCTGCGACTGATATTAATGCTCAATAAATTTGAGCTATTATTATAAGAATCAATAATTATTATTATGACTTATAAGAATCAATAATAATTATAATGTATCTCAACACTAAAATTTTATAAAATCTGTACATATATTTTCTTGTCTTTAAATGTAGAATAAATAATAAACCTTTATTTAAAATACAATGATTAAAATGAAATAGTTTCACATGAATTAAAATTTGAACTTGTGTAATGTAGATTTAAGGACTTTATTATTGGGCATTTGAAGCCTTATAAAAATACAGCTTAATGGAAAATTATTTTAAAAGGATAGTGTGTGCTTAATGATTGAAAGTTATTTTAGGAAGTTATTTAGCCTTTATACAATCATTCTTTCTGTGTGTGTGTGTGTGTGTGTGTGTTACTGGGGATTAAACCCAGGACCTTCACACTAAGCTACATCCTTAGCCTGTTATTATTTTCTTTTAAATTTTGCAACAGAATCTCACTAAATTGCTAGGTTGCCCAGGCTGGGCTTGGACTTGTGATGCACTCTTGCCTCAGCTGCCCAGAGTACTGGGTATACAGGGGCAAACCACTATGCCCAGGTATACAGGGGCAAACCACTACGCCCAGGTATACAACCCAGGTATATGTTTTGTGGATCAAATAAATTATTGACTATGGAAGAAATCAAATAGATATTTTTCATATTTGTACGTGGTTTGAAAGTGTTGATTGAAAGTCAGAGAACTTTGAAAGTTCATGAAAATATTAAGAAACCATAGTTTCCTTTTGGTTAATGTCCAGATGGCATATCTATATTTAGGGTGATGTGCAGAGTTACTGAAGTTGTTATAGATTCACCCTATACTTAATGAGTGATGAAGAGTTTACTTGTTCTCTCTTTTTAAAATATGTATATGTTAAGGGTTGATTTGTGAAACAATGGTAATTGAAAATGCTGCTTTGGAATACTGATGTGTTAGGCTCCTTTTAATTCAATGAAACTGTGCTTCGCGGTAACTCTGCAAGTTAGAAGGGTCCCAGAATCCAGTGCTTCTCAGTACCATGTAGAACTTAGAACAGGGACCTGTAGCTGGACTGCCTGAGTTTGGATTCCAGGTGTGCTGCTTCGTAACTCTGTGGCTTTAGGCAAGTTACCTAATCTCCATCTACCCAGTTTATTCCTACAATGGGGATAAGAGTTATACATACATCAAATGGGTACTGTGAGGATTCAGCAATGTAATAGCTTGAAAAATACTCAGAGCAGTACCTGACATAATAAAAAGCCAATATACATTGTTGTGATGATCCCATTCTCTGTTACTGTCACAGCATCATGAATTTTACAGTTAAACTGTAATGTTGCATAGTTATATAAATATGTCAGATTTGTTGACTGTCTTCATGGAGAGAAAACCCCAGAATCCTGGAGTAGAAAAAAAGGACAAGATAGAGGGTAAGCTGAGAGCATCTGATGGTGCATCAAGACATCAGTGCTAGCACTTCTCTCTAATGAAGAAAGCCATCATTTTATACAGTATACTAAATAAAATTTATTACAGTCATTCATAAGATAACATCAAATTCCATTCATTATGTCTGCTGGCTATTGTGTTATTCAGATATCTGTTGGCATATTGCTTGGTATAACTGAATAGTAAAGCACTCATTCAATTTGCAGACACACAGTACAGTGTATTTAGAAATTAGCTCAATGTTTCACTGGTGTCTGTTATGAAAAGGACAGATAATGGAAAGATTGCCCAGCTGTCTGGGAGTAAAACCATCAAGTGGTTGTTGTACAAGGTACAAACTCACCTGGAAATCCAAGTAATCTTCCCCTGTTCTCTTACTTTTTCCCCCCTTTCCGTGAGAATGTCTTCCATATCCTTTGTGCCAGCTGTGGCAGGGCGGTATAGAAAATTATTGTGAAGTATGGAATTACAATCTCTGTCATGAATTATAGCATCTCAGAATTAAAACAGCAGCCTTTAGACAGAAAAATAGCTACAGAGCCAGCCCAGAGACCATCAAGCACTGACATTGTTCCTGTATCAGAGATGCTTTTTTTTGTAACACAGTGGGGTTGGATCTGAAAGGTAATACAGAATGCCTGCTAATAGCCTCAGCACTGAAGTGAGAGGGAAAAATTCAGCAGCAGTCTTCCTTTCTTAAAGAGGCCACTGATTTCTTCATGACTAAAAATAGTCTTTTAAAAAATAATTTTATTGATACATTTAACATATACAATATAGTGACATTCATCATTGGAAATTGCACTTTTACATAATCCAACTTGGTTCTCTTATTTTTTCCCATCCCCCTGCCCTCCCTTCAACCCCTCCACCCCTCCCTATCTACAAAGACTTTGTTTCCATTTTTTCTTTTTCTCATATTCCCCGAGGCATAATTAGTTGGATAAAAGACCTAAATCATCGGTTAATTCTAAAGATTATTTTTCCATATTAATTACATTCCAACTCATTATGCCGCAGGTAAAATCTGTTTTTAAGGGATCTAGAAACACAGTGAATTTAGAATCAGACTTAAAACAACAATTTGTGTAGGTTTAGTGTCTATTAGTATACAAGATGGCTGAATGTCTTATATGAATAATTATCCATTTAAGGTACTAAAGTACAACTTCACTCAAAGTCATCGCAATCTCTTACATCTGACTTTGAAAATGCAGGTGGGAAGGGAAAGATGTGGATTCTTTTCTGTTTTAGTTTATTGGTACGTTTTAGGTATACAGCACAGTTACATTCATTATTGGGATCTTGTACATTTACATGACAGGTCTTGGTTCTCATTTTTTCCCCTTGTCCCTGCCCTCCCTTCAGCCCCCTCCTCCCCTCCCCATTTAAAAACACTTTATTTCCAATTTTTCATCTTCTTGTATTTTTTTCTTCTTCCTTATTGATTTTCCCCTACCCTTCCCACTTTACCTACACCTTTAGCCCTTTTCTTCCTATTTCACATTGTCAATTATCTCATTAGGGTCTTATGTATTATTATAGTTTGTTCACACCAGAGAAACTATTCGTTATTTGCACATGTGTGACTTATTTATTTCACTTAGGAGTATATCCTCAATATTTATCCATTTTCCTATTAATGAATCTAATTTCTCATTCTTTATGGCTGAGTAGTATTCCATTTTATAGAAAAACCACATCTTCTTTATCTAGTTTCCAACTGATAGGCAAATGGGCTGTTTCCATGTTTTAGCTATTACAAACTGTGCCGCTATAAACATAGGTGAGCTAAGAGTTTATTAATTTTATTTATTCTTTCAAAAAAACCAACTCTTTGATTCATTTATTTTTTGTATCATTTTCTTAGTTTCCATTGCATTGATTTTTGCTCTAATCTTTATAATTTCCTCTTTTGTTTGAGCTTTGGGTTTTTCTTGCTCTTGTTTTTCTAGTAGTCTAAGATTCATCATTAGGTTGTTTATTTGAGCTCGCTCCGTTTTCCTAGTATGGGCATTCAGGACTATGAATTTTCCCCATAGAACTGCTTTCATTGTGTCCCGTAGATTTCTGTATGTTGTATCGGTGTTTTCATTTATTTGTAAAAACTGTCTAATTTCTTTTTAATTCCCTCTGTGATATTCAAACCTGTTCTGTGAACTAGTATGTGATCTAACTTGGAGAATGACCCATGTGCAGATGAATAGAATGTATATTCTGATTTTGTTGGGTGGAACACTCTATAGATGTCTATTAAGTCCATATGTTCAAAAGCTTGGTTCACTTCTAATATTTCATTGTTGATTTTTTGCCTAGATGATCTGTCTATTTGTGAAAGTGGGGTATTTAGATCCCTCACTACAATTGTATTAGTGCTTATTTGGTTTTTCATGTTTTTTAATATTTCTTTTATATAGTTGGGGCATTTATATTTGGTGCATATATATTTATGATTGTCAACTCTTCCTCTTGAATTGTTATCTTTACAAAGATGTAGTGGCCTTCTTTGTCTCTTATAGTCAGTTTTTGGTTTGAAATTTACTTTGAGAATAAGATTGCTATCCCTGCTTTTTTCTGGGCTTCTGACACGGGGAGAATTGTTATCCATCCTTTCACTTTCAGTCTGTGGGCCTCTTTTTCTACTAGGTGTGTTTCTTATATACAACATATTGTTGGATTTTGCTTCTTAATCCATTCTGCCAATCTATTTCTCTTGATTGGTGAGTTGAGGCCATTGACATTGATGGTTGTAACTGATATGTACTGACTTATTATTGTCATGTTATTGG